ACTTCTTATAATGTGGGCCATGTTTACTCAAACTTTCAGGTTATATACTTCCAATATTGTTGGCCACGTGTACTCAAACTACCAGGTTATGTACTTCCTATAATGTGGGCCATGTGTACTCAACCTTTCAGGTTATGTACTTCCCAAAAGATGGGCCACGTGTACTCAAACTACCAGGTTATGTACTTCTTATAATGTGGGCCATGTTTACTCAAACTTTCAGGTTATATACTTCCAATATTGTTGGCCACGTGTACTCAAACTACCAGGTTATGTACTTCTTATAATGTGGGCCATGTTTACTCAAACTTTCAGGTTATATACTTCCAATATTGTTGGCCACGTGTACTCAAACTACCAGGTTATGTACTTCCCAAAATGTGGGCCACGTGTACTCAAACTTTCAGGTTATGTACTTCCTATAATGTGGGCCATGTGTACTCACACTTTCAGGTTATATACTTCCTATAATGTGGGCCATATGTACTCAAACTTTCAAGTTATATACTTCCAATATAGTGGGGCACGTGTGTTCAAACTACCTGGTTATGTACTTCCTATAATATTATTGATCCACGTGTGCTCAAACTTTCAGGTTATGTACTTCCTATAATGTGGGTCATGTGTACTCAAACTTTCAGGTTATATACTTCCTATAATGTGGGCCATGTGTACTCAAACTTTCAGGTTATATACTTCCAATATTGTGGGACACGTGTGTTCAAACTACCTGGTTATGTACTTCCTATAATGTGGGCCATGTGTACTCAAACTTTCAGGTTATATACTTCCAATATTGTGGGACACGTGTGTTCAAACTACCTGGTTATGTACTTACTATAATATTATTGAGCCGCGTGTATCCAAACTACTAGGTTATGCACCATAAAAGTGAAAAAACAAAAACTTCTTTTGACGAATTGAAACATTGTATATACATCCTACACGTTTACTGGTCTGTATTCAAATGTATCGCTGTTATTATTAACATTTATACGATTTCATATAGTATGAAACTGTTGTTTAACTGCTTATTTGTGTAAACTTCTCACAGTAGATACAATTGATAAATTTAACGTTGTAATATAACTTTTGAGTCGATAAGGCATCCCTGTTACAGATGATTAAGACATTCTTCCTTAAAATATCAAAGGTCAGTATACGTGAGCGTTCCAGTCTCCCTAGATGTTAGCAAGCTGTGTGTGGGTGAACGTAGGCTGTGAAAACTGAATTAGAATTAGTGTGATATGTGATACGAGTGCCAGTCTTTTCTTGGCGTCAAACCAGAACAATTACTATCCCCTCCCACAGATGCAGATTCAAATGTTATTTTACGCTTTGTTTCTTTGATATCGTAAGAGTAGCTGTGAAGTACAGTTGCCTAATTGTTTTATAAATGATAAGCATATTTCAACACACAGGTAAAGGTTTGATTTTTTGTGTGCAGATAAACACATTTTCTTTGTCAAAGTCTTGAGACTGGCAAAGCTACCTCAGACGCTGTATTCTAAGTATTGTCTTATGTGAAAGAAAACAAGTTTAAATACTTTGATTTATATTTGTGAAGGTATTACCAAAGTCAAAAAATGTATCATTTACTTCGTTAACTTATAATAACACTTTATTTATTTTATTTTTCTCATTGAAGTAACTCTCATAATATACCCGCGCTTCACTGTGAGGCCTCCTCATGGTTCACCGAGGACCCAGTGCAACAATCAAGCTCCTCCATTATCCCAAGTTACTCATATAATCACCTTTCGGGTGCATTGTAGCTCCCCTTGGTAGGGAGTACGCCACATACATAACGCCCCCCCCCCCGACCCTGACTGCCAAGTTTGATCCTGCTAGGTCTAGAATTGTGGGAGAAG